CGACTCCTCCTGATGTCGAGGGTAAATGGGCGAGGTTTAGGACTGTGACTCATGCAGCTGCAATGGCTGCTTTGGGTACGCGGTCCAGACCTCCCCAGACACCCTGGATGACAGTGGAGTTGTTCAGGATGGTTGAGAAAAAGCGACAGGCCCACTGTCATCGGCTACAGAATCCCACGTCAGAGAATGAGGAGGCTTACCGCAGCCTTCGCTCGGAGGTTCGGAGAGCCGTGAGGCGCTGCAAGGATGGGTGGTGGTCGCGGGTTGCTGAGGAGATGGAGTCTGCCTCAGTGGCCCGTGATCACAAATCTCTATTTAACTCCATCAAAAAAGTAACCTGCAGCGCCACACCTATTACCATCATTAGGGGAAAAAACGGTGATCCAATTTCCGACCCCCAGGAACAGGTTCGCAGATTTGCTGAGCATTTCTGTGAGGTCCTGGGGGAGGGAAAATCCCTCAGCCAGGAAAACATCGTGGCACAAAGTGAGGATGACCCTGCTGAGGCTGCGGTGCCTCAAATATTGGATGAAGTCACCCCCTGTGAGTGGCTGGCTGAGGTGCCATCTGCTGAGGAAGTATTGAAGGCGATCCGGAGTCTGAGACCAGGAAAGGCAGCGGGCAGAGATGATCTCCCAAGCGAAATGCTGAGGGAGGGTGGCGTTCCTGCACAGACTGTCCTATATGACATCATAACAACAGTCTGGACCACTGGACGGGTTCCGCAGGATTGGAAGGATGCCCTGGTGGTCCCCCTTTTTAAGAAGGGGGACCGCACAGACTGTAACAACTACAGGGGCATCTCACTCCTCAGTGTGCCGGGAAAGGTCCTGGCAAGGATTATTCAGCATCGCCTTGCCAGGCACGCTGAGGAGAGGCTTGCGGAGCCCCAATGCGGTTTCAGGAAAGGGCGGTCCTGCACAGATGCCATATTTTCTGTCCGTCTGCTACAGCAGAGGTGTAGGGAATTCCAACAAGACCTACATCTCTGCTTTATTGACCTGGTCAAGGCCTATGATACCATCAGTAGGCCTGGGCTCTGGGTCGTTCTTCGTGCTTTTGGAGTACCTGACCCTCTGCTCACGATCATTAAGGACCTTCATGATGGTGAGCGGGCCCGGGTAAAACTACGTGGCCGGGAGTCAGAGCCATTCCCTGTACACCTTGGGGTGCGACAGGGATGTCCTCTGGCTCCCACATTATTTAACATCTATTTTGACCACGTAGTTCGTGAAGCCTTCAATAGCTGTACCGGGGGAATCTCCATATGGTACAGATATAATGGGAGGCTAATCGATGCCCGTGTGCGGTCAAGGGATGGCTCCCTATTGCTCAACCAAGTTATGTATGCTGATGACTTGGTAATAGCTGCTCAGTCAGAGGAGGAGTTGGAGACGCTGCTGCTGAGACTGGAGCGTGCCACTAAGAGGTGGGGCCTTACCATCAGCCCCACCAAAACTAAGCACCTGCCTGGGTATTTTGTACCATCGGACACTCCACCCCCACAACTCCCAATCGGTGATGGGGCAGTTGTGGAGAGAGTGGAGAGTTTCCCATACCTGGGCAGTGTGCTTATGACTGGCTCCAGTTTAACAGCAGAGGTCTCACTCCGAATCAGTCGAGCGGCAATATCTTTTCATTGGTTGCGTAACGCTGTGTGGAAGCTACCTGGTCTGTCGCTCCGCACTAAGCTTCTGGTCTTCACGGCCACGGTCATTCCCTCCCTACTCTACGCTTGCGAAACGTGGACCCCCCTAATGGAACATCTTCGCCGGTTAGAAACATTTAGGCTGGCCTGCCTACGATCCATCCTGGGTTTAACCAGACTGGATTGTGTGAGGAGCTCACAAATCCTTGAAAGATCTGGGCAAGGTCCCATCGGTGAGCTCCTCCGGCAGGCAAGGCTGCGATGGCTGGGTCATGTAGCCCGCATGCCCAGCCACCGCATGCCGAAACAGCTTTTGTTTGGCCGGATTGAGGGGGCTAAGCGGGCACGGCACGGGCTAGAAAAGAGATGGAGTGATGTGGTACAGAAGGACGTGGAGCTGAGTGGACTTGCCGATGACTGGTACCAGCGGTGTCAAGATCGGCCTCTGTGGAGGAGGCTCGTGAAGGATGCTACTGGGCAGTT